TTAGAACCATAGGAGTGTAAAACAGCGGTGTCAAAAAGAATACAAGAAGTAATGGATGTCTGAGCTGTCACGCTGCTGAACCTTAATGCTATGAATATTGACTTCATGGCACGTTGGTTTATTATAACAAACCACAATTTCCCTTAAGATTCCATTTCCATTAACTGAGGGACAATCCCAGGCAGGGTGAATGATAGGATTTGGGAGGAGGGGAAAAGAGAAAGAATAAGCCTTAATTCCTGCATAGGAAACCTGTGAAGAGATCGGACATGCAGAACGGATACAAACAAGACAGGGAATGAAAGTCTGTTTGAGACAAAGACGCTGAAAAATGTGAAACCAGTGAGAAATAAAAGGATGGATATGATATATGCCGTGTTTATGCAAGGCCTTTAAAAATAGTCATTACTTTTGATCACCGTAATAACATAAGCACAAGCTCCTTGTAGTTTATTAGAACGTTGATGCGATACAGACTCAAAGTACAGGGTAAGGAGTTTTGTTTTAGCCAAAAATCTCAAATGTCTGGAAGCATTTCCAATCAGCGCCTCTGAAATAATGATATTGTATTTCCACTTGGCTGAACTGAAAGCTGAAAGCTTCTAGGATGTGATTCTACCAGCTTTGTACATTGAGAGAAATAGGTTAAGGACGGTTACTGACGGCGAGTTTTAAAGTTTGTCACTTCTCTTTTATTATATTTATGTCCAATATCTGATTGGCTATTCTAACACATAAATAAGCTTTAATGTCCATTTTTATTTTCCCTGTCGAAGCTGTGGCTTTATGTTTGATCTTACTTTCCTGTTAGGGGTGAATATTTGCGTTAGTTTAGAAGCTTCTGCACATTGAATCCAAGCTTTTAGCTTGTAAGCCTCCTCTCCTAAACTATAAGATAAAGTTTCAATGTTTAGATAAAAAACAAATTGATTTTGAACACAATTTCTTTGAAAACGACACCTGTAATTTGTCATGGTAAATGGCATGTACTTATATATAAGTATATTTTCAAGTCAGGAGACTTAACCAAAGCGCTTTACACTACATTCATTCACCCATTCACACACACACACTAATGGTGGCAAGCTACATTGTAGCCACAGCTGCCCTGGGGCTCACTGACAGAAGCGGGGCTGCCGTACACTGGCACCACCGGGCCCTCTGACCACCATCAATGCAGGTGAAGTGTCTTGCCCAAGGACACAACGACAATGAAAGTCAGAGCCGGGGCTTGAACCGTCAACCCTTCGATTTCAGGGCAAACTCCTACCTCCAACGCCACTGTCGCCCCATTATATTTAATGAATGAATGTGGCAAAGTGTGCAGTAAGTCATGTCAAGCTGTTTATTATAGAAATCAAATTAAACAAATTTATTAAATACATTTTTTTCTGTTTTTTCATTTCATGACCTCTTATCAGAATAAAGCTATGTCTTAAAATCTGATTCGATTTCACCTTTCTTAAATTGGGCTACCAATTAAGTCTGCACAAAATCTTCTTAGTGTTGAACATGGCACACCACCCTGGCTTTGGACACCTCAGCTATAACACATCTTTCATAAATTCCCTTTATTTAGTTCCAACAACTCTGCCCAACAGGTTATGCCTGCTAAAGAAACGTAGCCCCATAACTTTATGGTGCCACCACCATGTTTCATGTAGGGGATGATGTGTTTAACTTTAAATGCAGTTCTGATTTCCTATCAACTATACTATATTCAGGAAGTTATTTATCACCTGGACTCTCTTTGCTAAGTTAGATGACTCCAAAATAAATGCACTTTAGAGTAGAGGTGGTTGAATCGAAATGCTGACTTTTCATATTTTTAATTGTAAAAGGGTTTGAACACCATTATCTGACTCACTTCATGGTCATGAACTGTTTTGTGTTGTTCTGTTACATATAACCCAAATAAAATATATTGAACTTGGAGGTTAGAACACAACAACATTTAAAAAAGTTAAATTTTCCTGAATAACTCACGAAGAAACTGAACATAGTATATGTCCACTTTCTTTTTTTGAGTCAAACCTGGTGTTTGGGATCTGCTCAAAGGGGATATGTCTGGATGGAGAAACAGACCTACCAGGTTCCAAAGAAATGTGTTAAGCCCACATTCAGAGTGGTTTATAGTGCGAAAGGATAAGACCTTCACTGGAAATCATAGTTCAACACCAAGAGCCAATGTGCTACAGCTATTTAAGCAAAACCTCCAGATGTTCCATTCAGTAGGGAGACAGCTTTTGTGGCAGTGTGTGTGTGTGTGTCTGTGTGTCTATGTATTATGTTTTCAACAGCCATCCATCTTTTTCTTCCTTTACTGTAAGAGGGCGCGCTATCAAGCTCTATTGTTTCTATTCAATTAGCTGTCATTACCAACGGCAGTTTGATTACTGAGTTCATTTGGCTGGTGGAGAACAATGGAGGCAGGCAAGCTGTCTTTTTATTCATCCTGCTACCAATATTGTCTTCCTCACTGGAGAGAATTAAACAGGGCTTGTTTGTGAGGAATGAGGTTCATGCAGCAACACCAATGCAACGGCTGATTCTTTTAGACATCGCATGTCCATAAATACTAACAACCACAAAGCTATGAGGATGGAATAAAACTGCGTATTCTTTAGAACTGAAGAATATTCACTGAAGGGACAACTGCTGAGGAACGTGGATTTCACTGCTATAATGAGCACCAACCAATCAAAATTAATTCATGGGCCATGAGGCTAACATTAAGAGCTCGGCCCCTGTGAATGGCTTGGCCCCCTTGAATCCATAACTGATCTTTTTAAAGTGCTTCTGCAATAGGGAGAAGCATTTAGAAAATTGACTTCTGTCTAATGTCCATGCCGGTTCAAACTTATTGTTAAAAAATGTACAGATGTGTTTAAAAGAGAATAAATATCAGGTAAAAACGTATCTAAAGAAAAAAATATATATCTCACTATTCCATGCGAGAAATTGCTAAGAAATTGAAGAAATTCCTACAACGGTGTGTACTACTCCCTTCAGAGGACAGCGCAAACAAGATACTGCGGGTACTATTTAATGAAGATGCCAGTTAGGGACCTGTACTTATCTTCTTGCTCAGTTGTGCAACGCGGCCTCCCACTTCTTTTTCTATTCTGGTTAGAGCCTGTTTGTGCTGTCCTCTGAAGGGAGTAGTACACACCACTGTTGGAAATCTTCAATTTCTTAGCAATTTCTCGCATGGAATAGCCTTTATTTCTAAGAACAAGAATAGACTGTCGAGTTTCAAGTGAAAGTTCTCTTTTTCTGGCCATTTTGAGCATTTAATTGAGCCCACAAATGTGAAGCTCCAGAAACTCAATCTGCTCAAAGGAAGGTCAGTTTTGTAGCTTCTGTAACGAGCTAAACTGTTTTCAGATGTGTGAACATGATTGCACAAGGGTTTTCTAATCATCAATTAGCCTTCTGAGCCAATGAGCAAACACATTGTAACATTAGAACACTGGAGTGATAGTTGCTGGAAATGGGCCTCTATACACCTATGTAGATATTGCACCAAAAACCAGACATTTGCAGCTAGAATAGTCATTTACCACAATAGCAATGTACAGAGTGTATTTCTTTAAAGTTAAGTCTAGTTTAAAGTTATCTAAATGGAAAAGTACAGTGCTTTTCCTTCAAAAATGAGGAAATTTCAATGTGACCCCAAACTTTTGATATATAAAAATAAATTATATTAAAAAAAATAAAACAACGAATCAAATGGTTAAAGTGATCCTTTTAGCAGTTAAATGGAAAAATAAGCCACATTTAATGGACCCTAAATGTTCAAGTCAAGCTCCTTCAAAGGTTAACTTTAGTTGTTTTTTATATAAATTAATAACTCTGTGATCTGTCTGTGATGTCATGCTCTGGTTGATCATTTGGATCAGGACAGTTCAAAATTGCTTATAAATCTTACTATAGAACTATATTCCTGCTTCATAAGCAAACCACTAATATAATATATATATATATATATATATATATATATATATATGGTAAATGGCATGTACTTATACAGCGCATTTATTCAAGTTAGGAGACTTGACCAAAGCGCTTTACACTACATTCATTCACCCATTCACGCACACACTCACACACTGATGGTGGCAAGCTACATTGTAGCCACAGCTGCCCTGGGGCTCACTGACAGAAGCGGGGCTGCCGTACACTGGCGCCACCGGGCCCTCTGACCACCATCAGTAGACAATGCAGGTGAAGTGTCTTGCCCAAGGACACAACGACAATGAAAGTCGGAGTCGGGGCTTGAACCGTCAACCCTTCGATTTCAGGGCAAACTCCTACATCCAACGCCATTGTCGCCCCTATATATATATATATATATATATAATAAAGTCTATCAATCAATCAATCAATCATCTAGCAGGACATGATCTCTGTCACCACTATTCACTGTAAACATTGCTAAAAGGAGACTATTAAATGGCACTTGATCTTTGGCCACTTGGTTTATCAAATGCAAGGATTACCAATGTTTAAAAATAATGAAATTCTGTGATTCAAACAGATTTCATACATCGTGGTTGGATTCCGCGCTGACATCCTGTAAGTTCCTGATCTGAGAAAGGCTGCACTAAAACAATTATAACATGCTGCTGCTTCAATACTTAAATAAAGGCCATCTGTTTCACATTTTCTGTTTGACAGTATAGATGACCTTATTGATTGAACTCCATATGGCTATTATTTTCAACATGCACATTTCAGTTTATGATTATTACACAGAACCTGCAGCCTTCATGTTATAGCTGTGAGGTTTGGATCTGGTCGGTTAGTTTAATTGACTTTAACCACTAGGTAATTATTGGCCATGTAATTATACAAAGCCTCCTAAGAAAACTGATTTTGGTAAATTATGTTTTTTGCTGGTTCAAGCAACCTTGCTACTTTTTGAGTCAGATTTTTTTTCTTACTTTCAGGCAACGCCTAATCATTTTAAGATATTAACAAATAGCATTGTGTTTTACCTTTCTTGTTCCTGCTTCATTTGGACGGTCTCATCTTCATTTGCCTGGACTTCCTCAGGTCTAGAACTTCTTGAGTTCTTCCTCTCAATCCGGTCCTCGTCCTTCTTGCTCTTTCCAAACCTAAAAAAACCCCACAAAAAAACTTACATGGACTGAGAAAAGTAATCAGGATAGGAATCACTTTTTTTTGGTCTAGATTGCTTTCAAAAGCAAGAAATCTGACTTTGGTCTCATGCATATAGTATACAGACATTAAATACAAGTATAAAACCTTTAAAGGAAATAAAACAAAAGCTAAATAAACAAGAAACAGGTTATGACAGGGAAAATAAGCTTATTTTGTTTCACACTGGAGTAGCTTCTACTCTGGCGGTAAGGTGCTCATTGTGTTCATCGGAGAGACAGAGAGGGATGGAGAAAGAAAGACAGGGAGCAATATTTTCCAACTCAGAATACATATATTTATGAGGGCAGTCTGTTCCACTTTATCAGGGAAATTCAGGTGAAACACTTTGTTGAAAATTAAAGTGTCAAACTGTCAGAACGTGCAGGCTGTGTTTGTGCTGTGAAGACAATCTCGGAGGGCAGCAATTCAATACTGAAATAATAATGTCCCTATTCAATATAAATAGAATAAAAAGCATCAAGTTATATAAAAACATATCCTAACAGTATTTTTGCTTCCTTTTAACTCAACAATTGGTTAAAAAAAGTGTGCATTACCAGGCATTAAATGTAGAAATGTTTTACTCTAAAAAAGGATAAACTGAAAATGTCCTTCCTGAGCTGTGTTGTTTGCTTAGAGTGATGGCAGCTCTGACAACTCATGAAGCCGAGGAGACAAAATACCTGCATGCAGGCAAATTGCAGGAGAGGGAAACTGGCTTACCAAAAAAAAAATTCTAAGTTTTTATAGTGCTGCAAACTTTACATTTTAATGGCAGGAAATGGTGACAGTTTGATATGAAAATGAGGAAAAGGCAAAGTGAACAATTTTAATAATTGTGGTTGGTAATGTTTGGTGCTAGGTAGTTAAATAATAGAAGAACATGATGGAGGACATTGGAGAAGTCATGAGAAACACAAAAAAAACATTGACTACAATTACAGGGGGGAAGTCATTATTTACACCCCTATCAATCAATTCAGTTTGATTAATTAGAGAACTAGAGTCTAATTTTTAACCTGGTTGGTCACCAGGTTTTTACCAAACCGGAGAGTGTTAGCGCCACTGCTGCGTACAAAAATCCTAAAAAACTTTGGGCTGAGAGATTTGGTGGTTTAGGCTATGATAAAAGTTAATAATCACTGAGGGATACTACATTGAAGTTTGTTTTTGTTTTTTTTGAGGTTTTTACGGCACTAATTGCTAATTTTTCTGACCGTAGGCTGACAGGAAAGGAGGCATGAGAGAGGTGGAGAGACATGTTGCAAAGGACCACAGGTTGGATTCAAACACAGGTTGCCCGCGTCAAGGACTAAGGCCTCCATACATGGGTCATGCACGTGGCAGTTTTAAGTCCAATACAGTCATTAGTCTGCTGAATAAAGTTTGAGAAATATCAGTGTGGAGCACATCTCCTTACAGATGTGCAGCTTACAGTGACAGTTTCCCCTTCTCTACCAGATCCTCCATCCGATCCTCCATCATTCAAGTCCTGCTTTTCCAGGACATTTTCTCTATTCTATGATTTTCCTGGTTTTATTTCTAACTGATGCATTTCAGTTTTGCACCTTGCTAAAAAGAAAACAAACCTTTTTTAATAAATATTTTTGATTTCGTAGTGATTTTGAACTTGAAATTTAGCATTTAGAAAAACACGTCTTTAGGGGGAGTATAAACTGATATTAACAAGTCTTTAACTGACAGACAAACACAAATTGAGACTAACCTTAAAGTCTCATTTTCATTTTTTAACTTGGCAAGAGAAGAGGGAAACATTTTTTTGGCAAAAAGTGTCTGTAGGACTTAGGTTTATTCATTAGCTAGGCCACTCAATAGGCTTACCCTAACCCTAGTCAACCCTCTGTGATTTTTCCTGTGTTATTATCATAGTTAGTACGGCTCTACGAGACATTATCAGAGTTCTTCGTAAAGGAAGGGGATTCTCACCGGCTTCTAAATGGGATAAAATTGTCCCGAAATCAAAAAGCACTAAATTATCTGCATTTTTTTGTGCTCATAACCACATGTCTCTTTGCCCATACATCATATATAAAGACATTTGACCTGGTCTTCTATCACCACATCACATTTTCCAAAGTTTTTTATAAAAAGTTTTAATGTCTGTTGTTTGCTTTAGATAAATTGTAGACTGCTTTAATTAGGGTGACCAAACGTCCGTATTTCCCGGGACATATCCGTATTTCACGTCCTGTCCCGGGCGTCCCGGGTTTTTTTTAGAAAGTGAGGAAATGTCCTGATTTCACTGCGCACGACTCTCCGTGTGACATAATCCCTGAGCCGCGTCAGTGCGGGCAGCCCTGCTCTTAATCAGAAATGGCTCTGTTCGAAAACCTAGGACGCGGTCTACCTAGACTGGATCCTTTGAAGTCCTTGAAAATAAGGAGTGCCGGCTGTAAATTCGAACAGGTCCTCCCTTCGGCGGGTTTTACCGCCGTATGCTGTGTTGCTTAGCAACCGTGAAAGTTGACACACAAAGCAGGAAAAGAATGAATACCGAGGTTTTCAAAACTGTTTGTTTATTTATTTATTTTAAAAAAAGTTAAAGTGAACAAAGACTCACAAGAATCCAGAGTGGAATAAAGATTCCAACCACCGGGAGCAGGAACAAATAAAATCAATTACTGTAAAAATGTCCATAGCTGCATACTGGTTATTAATTCTCCAGTTTTATATTATTAAAACACTTTACAGAATTTTATTTTTTATATTTTAACTCTTCCCTATTATGTTATTCTTATACATTTTTCTAAGGTCCTCATTTGTGCGACCATTTTCAATAATCTTTCTGCTGCTGTAAATTTGCTCATTGTGGGACAATAAAGGGATTTTCTATTCTATAAAAGGGTTAGAAATATATAAGTAAATCTAAACAATGTATCTACAAAATATATCTGCAAAATCTCTAATATTCAACAACAAAAAATACTTAGTTAAGCATATTGTGCAAAACAACAATAAAAAAATGAAACTCCTATCAGATTTATAGTTCCCACTCTGTAGATTTATTAGAATCTGTCCTTAAATTACAGCCAAACTCATTTACACAGTAACAGATAAAAACCTTTAGATAGACCAAACATTACCGCAACATATCTGACTCAATAACCATTAAATTAACTATTTTCATTCATTTCAGACGGAACTATTCACAGAGTTGTATTATATTAAACTGAACTTCCAATTTTCACCACTGTTCTGCGCCAAGTAACATTTCCTCAAATCACGGAGCAAATCCCGATGATGAGACATTTGTTCTTTCAATCAACCCCCCCCCACTGCTCCAAGGTGTCCTGGTTTTCCCAAATGAAAATATGGTCACCCTACTTTAATAAGAGGTGTGAATGTCAGAGTCTAGGTCTGGACAGGTCTGTGGCTTTTAGAAATTTTAAGTCAATTTGGATGCTGATTTCTAACCTCACATGAGATAAAAACATCAACCATTTAATTCAGTCTTTTCTGGATTTCGGAGAAAATATAATAACTTTTAATTACTAATCAAATTGAGAAACACTAATATAAAATTGTGGTAGGCATATATCTGTCAAACAATGTTTTTATACTTACTTTGTTCATCCATATTTTTTTTATGCAAATCAAGATCTTGGTACAATTAGCCTTGTGCCAGACATTCCATTTTCCAATTAGCACATCATGATCAAATCTCATTAAATGTTCATAAGGAGTATTTCAACTTGGATTAGAGAGGAACTGTGCCACTGACAACACCTTAAGCCAGAGATGTCTTCCCACCTGCCTTAGCAGGGTTTTCAATAGATGCGTTTACATTACAAAGGCGTGCAAAACTATGTTGATATTCTGCTCGTTTTGAAAATGCATTTGCGGTATTTGGCAGCGTCGGCTGTAAACAGAGGAGATGTATCCGTATTTCAGCCACGGTTTTAGTGCTCATTAAACTCATCGTCACAAACTAAACATAAAATATGGATCAAAATCTTCCACTATTCTTCTTTGTCTTTTTACAAGGCAGTAAGGTCCAGCTGCAGATGTGATGAGGAAAAGTGTTTCCATTGCAGGTTTGTGAAATCAAACAATTTGTTGTTTTTTGCTTTTTCAAAATTGCACAAATTCCATTTAGTCAATTTATTTTCATTATTATGATTTGCTCATATTGATGGTTAATGGAACTGCAACGTATGTCCCTTGCAGGACCTTATAAATAACATAAAAAAAGGGATTTGCTAAGAATAGCTTGTTAAAATTCTTCAGATTTATTTAAATGATGACCATGCATAGAATATTAAGCATATTTAAATAAATACTAACTTGGATCACATGCAAACATTCACCACCTTTGTAGAAAACTCAGCCAAATCTCAACATTTAAGGTTAAGATGCTTTTTGACAATTTTAAAGATAAAAGAAAAAACAGGAAAGTACGCAGACCTGAGGGCAAGTGGCCACAAGTGGTAAGAAATCCAATAGATATATTCACTGACAAGGATCTGGGTTTTATTGAATGTTTTTGTAATACAATGCAACTCTTTCTGTTTTTTTTTTATATAGAGACATTGATTATTATTTTTTAGGTTTTTTTGTTAGTTTTCTAGCAGCTCTGTTCAATTTTATACTGCTTAAGATCTGCAGTCTCCAATCCCTGTGGTGCTTTGTTCCAAGTTTATTTTTTTTACCTTCCGCATAGCAGAGCTGTTCTTGACAGTTTGAAAACTTTCTCTGAAAGCTGAAAAATTACATCAGACAAGGTCTGACTTTTAGGAGATGGAAACAGATTTATTCATGGACTGGGGGGGTTGCCTCCCTAGTTAATGTGATTTGTTCTACTCCACAAGAACTTACATCTTGCAAACTGTTTTAGAAGAAACTGTGTCTGAATTATTTTATAAAAGTGGATGAATAGCTACTGTCCCCTATGGCACAGAAAAAAAATATTTCCTATACTGTATTTAAGATAATC